CCATCTATGATAGAGAGAGAGAGAGAGATGCTTATTTATTGTCTGACCCTTTTATTTGAGCTCTTACTTTTCTTCGGGCAGCTCTCAGACATCTTCCCTCTCCCTCAGACAGCTTCGTCTTCTTCTTCTACTCTCTCTCTCTCTTTCTTAAAAAGCTGGACTGGGAGAGAGGAACTACAATCCAATTCACACTGGAAACGTAAGGAGAAGCGATCGCAGCTTTTTTGTATCCTTCTCTTTCAATCTCTTTTTTTTTTTGTACTAGCAGAGATTTTCCTCATCATTTTAGTCTCTCTGTTTATTTCTTTGGGTTTGAACTTTGTCTTTATCATTGAATTGCGCACTGTAGTGTCGGGTCGGATCTTGAGTGAATTTTGGGACCGATGATGTGGAGGAACATTGCTGGGTTCTCTAAGGCTGCGGCTGCCGCAAGAGCCCGCGGATCTCGGCGCTGCTTTTCCACTGCAATTCCTGGTCCTTGCATCGTCCACAAGCGTGGTGCTGATATTCTCCACGATCCATGGTTCAACAAGGTCGCTTTTTGTGTTCTCGATCCTCTGATTTTTTAGGGTTCTAGAAAAAACGATTCCTTTGATTCAAGTCATAATGCTGAATGCGTTGTTTATGCTCTCCCTTTGCAGGACACTGGTTTTCCTTTGACTGAGAGAGATAGATTGGGGCTACGAGGCTTGCTTCCTCCTCGTGTTATGTCCTGTGAACAGCAATATGATCGTTTCAGTATGTCATTAGATCCATTTCCCATTACTGTTATCTTTCTTTTGATGATTATATTTTCTATTGGGGTTCTGAGGCTTTGGTATCAACATACTTTGGCAGTTGAGTCTTTTCGTTCCCTAGAGAGGAATACTCATGGGCAGCCTGAAAACGTTGTCTCATTAGCTAAATGGAGAATGTTGAATAGATTGCATGACCGTAATGAGACTTTGTACTACCGAGTGAGTTTGCCTCGCTCTCTAACTGTCTTCTTTTTTTCCCCTTAACCCCCCCACATAGCACTTCCCTCAGACATAGCTCTTCTTCTCTGCAGGTCCTTATTGATAACATCAAAGATTTTGCCCCCATCATATACACTCCCACTGTTGGACTGGTTTGTCAGAACTATTCTGGTTTGTACAGAAGACCGCGAGGAATGTACTTCAGTGCCAAAGACAAAGGAGAGATGATGTCTATGATTTATAACTGGCCAGCTCAGCAGGTTGATATGATTGTCATCACTGATGGTAGCCGTATTCTTGGCTTAGGAGATCTTGGAGTCCAGGGTATTGGGATTCCTATTGGAAAGCTTGACATGTATGTGGCTGCAGCAGGAATCAATCCACAACGAGTATGTAGATCTCAACATGATCTTGTATTTTATTTGGCTGTCCATAACAAAGGTTTCATCTCTTTATTTGAAATTATATGCTTGTTCTTCTGCAGGTTTTGCCAATTATGTTGGATGTGGGCACAAACAATGAAAAGCTCCTACAGAATGATCTCTGTAAGCTGTGACCTTAATTGGTCAATGTGGTGTAGATGTATTTCCTTGATATCTCATTTGTGTGTCTTTCCCATTTTACAGATCTAGGAGTCAGACAACCTAGGTTGGAAGGAGAGGAGTACCTTGAGATTATTGATGAATTTATGGAAGCTGCATTTACACGTTGGCCAAAGGCCGTTGTACAGGTATATATCTTCTAGTATCTTCTTCAGATTTACCTTTCGGTTGGAAGAAGAACTAAATGATTCATTCCATCATATTAGTTCGAAGATTTCCAAGCGAAATGGGCTTTTGAAACATTGGAAAGATATCGGAAGAAATTTTGTATGTTCAATGATGATGTCCAGGTATGCTCAGATTGTTGCAATCCAGCTGTTTTGCATTATAGCTACTCCTTGTGTACATCTTTTAACAAAAATAATAAGGTTTGTGTATTCTCAGGGAACTGCTGGTGTTGCACTGGCTGGACTATTGGGAACTGTAAGAGCTCAAGGTCGGCCTTTGTCTGACTTTGTGAACCAAAAGATTGTTGTGGTGGGAGCTGGAAGGTACTTGGATATTCACTTGGAATCGTTTACTACTGTATACATATTTTGTCATTAACTTTTTCCTCATCTTTGCATTGTATTTATTTTTTATAACTTTCAGTGCTGGGCTTGGTGTAACTAAGATGGCAGTACAGGCAGTTGCAAGAATGGCAGGTATCAGCGAGATTGAAGCAACAAAAAACTTTTACCTGATAGATAAAGATGTAAGTTTTTGTTTTTCACTACACTTCATATGAATCTGTTTGTCTTGCTTGATAATAAGTAATTAAGCCTGTGTAGTTCACAGGTTAGTTGACTTTGAAACTGTCATATTATTGTCATTTTTAGAGCTTGCTTTTGGATGTTGTCTTAATCATTCCACTAAGAGCTTACCTAGAAAAAGTCAGAAAACGTTTTAAAACTTATCCAATAGCCATTCTTTTTTGGATTGTTTAACGTATTGTTTCCTCATCTGTTTGCCACTTGAAATCGTGTTCCTTTAAATATTTTAATGAAAATGGCTATATGGATTTCAGGGTCTTGTCACCACGGAGAGGACAAAACTTGACCCAGGAGCTGTACCTTTTGCTAAAAATCCAGCTGAAATACGTGAGGGAGCAAGTATCGTTGAAGTGGTAAGCCTAAGCCTTATTGAATTCGTGCCTTACCCAATCTTAAAATTTGACTTTCTGTTCTTTCTCTACATCTTAAAGCAACACAGAATCTACCATATTTTTACTGTCCCCAAAAGTTAGTCAGAATCATATTATAATATTTCTGTCTATATTCAAAACTTCTTCAGGTGAAGAAGGTGAGACCACATGTTCTTCTTGGTTTGTCTGGAGTTGGTGGTATCTTCCATGAAGAAGTATGGGACTTTCTTAGAAAACAAATACTTTCATGAACTATATATTAATTTAATAGTTTTACTTATATGGTTTACTGGTTTCAATCATCAAAGGTTCTCAAGGCAATGCGAGAATCTGACTCATGCAAGCCTGCCATTTTTGCTATGTCGAATCCCACCTTGAATGGTTTGTAATTTTAGCTTTTCAAAATGATGAAACACTAAATACTGTGCCCTCAACATCTCTTTTGGTGTGACAGCTGAGTGCACTGCTGTTGATGCTTTCAAGCATGCCGGAGGAAACATAGTCTTTGCAAGTGGAAGCCCATTTGAGAACGTTGAACTTGGTATGTTATGGTGGGATTCATTAATGATATCTGTGTCTAAATTTTCTAGGATCTAAAGATATTCAACTTCTCTTGTCCCACGTGCAGAGAATGGTAAAGTAGGACATGTGAATCAGGCTAACAACATGTACCTATTCCCTGGGTTCGTTTTCTTTCTTGAAAACTGTTTCACTGTGTTGCGTTTCAATCCATAGATTTTTGACAGAATCTCTGTGGTCATTAACGTCTCCAGGATTGGACTAGGGACTCTTCTCTCTGGTGCTCGGATTGTAACTGATGATATGCTGCTAGCAGCTTCTGAATGGTAATGATTGCGTTTGATTCTCTTCTGTTTTCAACCATAAAAATCGAGCTCGATTAATAGTTTTCAAACATACACAGCCTTGCGTCCTACATGACTGATGAAGAAGTCCAAAAAGGAGTCCTTTACCCTTCAATCAACAAGTATTTCCTCTAATTCCCTGCCATTCTCATCCGTTGTTTTTTATAGTATCTCAAAACTGTTATGTTAAGCAATTGGTTTCTGAACAAAAAACGCAGCATCCGACACATAACAGCTGAAGTCGGGGCAGCTGTTCTACGAGCTGCGGTTTCTGATGACATTGCAGAAGGACATGGCGATGTTGGTCCCAAAGATCTCAGCCATATGTCCAAGGTATCAATCGAGAAACTAAGATTTATTAGTATAGAAACATGTCTAAAGGCAATTAGAAATTGGAATCTAACTGCATTCTTTTTTCTTATGACAACAGGAGGACACAGTGAATTACATCACACGCAATATGTGGTTCCCAATCTACAGCCCTCTTGTTCATGAGAAATAGACAGCGCCGAAAGACAAAACCTTTCCTTTTGTGATCAACATTCTTTCTCTTCAAAATGTGATATCTTTAAAAATACAATGCCAAAAGAGGGCTTAAGAACAAGAACAGGGTTTAGTTATCTAGGTCACCACCCTGTACTTGTCCTTTCTTTTTGACATTTTTCCAACTTCTTACGATTATGTCTGATGGAAGATTAAAAACTCTTATATACTTTTTTTTGGCAATAATGAAATTGTTACTTTCCACATTGTTTTGGCCTTTGAATCTGCTTTACCATTTAAAAGCCTTGACGACAAACACATAGAATTAGTTTTTCGAACAGTTTCCCAACTGCAGAGTCTATGCTGATGGAAACGGTTCGAAACTAAAGCAACAGAGGGATGAAGTATTTCAATCATTCTAAGGTTGTGTGTAGTATAATCAATGTGTACTGTACTACTATTTGAATCATTCTAAATGTCTTTGTACAGTTGATCGTTTATATTAACATGAAAATTAGATTTCTACATATTTATAACGAACTGATTTTACCTTTCTTTTGCCTAACACTAGTTCTTTTCTTCTTTGGTCAATAATACTTTGAATCCTTCAAAAAATAAAATAAAACTGTGTTAAGATTGGCTATGATAAAACGGCGACGTATCTTGAGGCCGTGTTCAAAATTTGTAACGACTGGTTGGTTACTTAAGCTTTCCATGACGCAAGGCGAGATTTCGAGATTCAACCAACTCTGCGTGCGTATCTCTCCTCAGGTGAATTTCTCAGCTTAGAGTTTACAAATTATCAATATATACAGTATATATATGTTCACCACAAGTATCTCGATCAGTGATTTAACCGTGTCAATCGATGTATCCTATTAATGCGTATCTATCTGTTGTTTTGATGTACGTTCTCTTTAGCGACGATATGTTTCCCCAATATTGAATTTTTTTATAGATTTGGTTAGGTTTATTGAATGATGAAGAAGGCTACGGGGAAGGAGGGTAAGGCTGAAACATTGGTCTATTGGGACATCAAGGAGTTTCCGGTTCCACTTGGATTTGATGCACGCCGGATCCGTCCTTGCATTGATGGGCTGTTGGTATCTAATGGATACTCTGGTCCTGTCACCATCTACGCCGTTGGCATACTAACAGACGTCCATGTTGACATCCTTGGAGCTCTCTCTTCCACTGGGATCATTCTTTTGCACAGCGCCTTCTGTTAGTATTAATTATTCTCATCCTCATACCTGATGAATAGAATTGAGAGAGAGAGAGAGAGTTTCACAAGTCTTTAGTTTCTCTAGTGGAGAGTTTTTTTTCAAGTCTTTCTTCTGAAACAGGTGTCACAGACATCTTGGTATTTGCGAGTGCGTGGATGCACAATAATTCACCTCCAGCTAATATCTTGATCATAAGCGATCCGGATAGCTTCCCTACACCTCCGAGTGGATACAACCTTTTCAGTCCGTTTCCATATTCTTCCCCTCAAGAAGACGCCATCAGCTGGATTAACTTAATTCTGACAAGTTTGTGTATTTATTTGTCCACTCTCACACTGTTGTTGAAATAACCTGTTGCTGTACACTAGCTCAACTTTTACTGCCTCGCAGTGTCAGGGACACTTGAGGAGGATAAGTGCAGTGAAACGTATGAATCTACCAGCTGGTTCTGCTCAATATGCCGACCTCTTCCTGCTGTCCAAAGCCGAGTTCATTCTGACGTAGATCTTTATGGCACCAGCGAAGATGGCTTTGAAACTTTCACCAGTCATCTCTCTTCCTAAGAGCACCTACTTACGGTAATTAAGCCTCCTAGCCAAAACCTTACTGACTTGTTGTGTCAACACTTTTTTTTATAGATCAAACAGCCCCCATTACTTGTTTTCCCTTTTCTCACTTGTAGCTAGTTTTGTCTGCCTAAATCTGAGGCCATTTTATCCTTTTCCCCGGGATCTGCATTTGTTTTTTTTTTCAAACAGAAGTTGGACTACTTGCCTGTCGAGGATTATCTACCCTTGCAGAGATTCAGGGACGAGGATGAGAATCCTCCCACCATGGTCAGATGGCAACCAGAGGCAAGTTTTAGTATGATCTGATAATGTTGAGATTTCTACATTTTAGTTTTTGTTTTGCCTACATTTTGAACCCGTGTCTGTCTGCTTCAAAACCTCCTACCAATAGAATAGTTTTCCTTTTCACATCTGTAGAAGGCTACTCCAGAGGAGGCTGAGGCTGTAACATCGGTCTTCTGGGACATCAATTTGTTTCCGGTTCCCCCTGGCTTTGATGCTCGTCTAGTCCGTCCGTGCATCAATTGGTTTTTGAAATCTCATGGCTACTCTGCTCCTCCCACCATCTATGCCGTTGGCATACTAACAGACGTCCATGATGACATCCTTGAAGATCTCTCTTCCACTGGAATCACTCTTTATTACGCCCCTCACGGTTACTATCTTCTCATTTTTTATGCCTTAATTCCTACAGTATAATAATGGATGATAAAAACACAGTCTCAAGTCTTTAGTTTCTGAAACAGGTTCCACAGACATCATGTCGCTTATGTCTCGGTTGATTTCTACGTCTCCACCCCCGGCTAATATTTTGGGCAAATGCGATCCGAGAGGCTTCCCTCTACCTTTGAGTGGATACAACATTTTCCGGCTGTTTTCCTATTCTTCTCCTAAACAAGACTCTATCCTATGGGGAAGATCTTTTCTGGCAGGTGTGTGTTTTCACCTCTCTCACAGACAGTGTTATTGTTGAAATGACTAGCAAATATGTTGCTAAACTAGCTACTTCCCTTCCCTTTTCCAGATTCAGGGGCTCTTGAAGAGGAGACGTGCAGTGAAACGGGTGAATCTGGCAGCTGGAGTTGGTTAATATGCAATCATATTGGTGGCCAAGGCTTAGAAAACTTCACCAAGCATCTCTCTAGTCCAAACCATTCACAAAACCTTTCACATGAGGTAATTAAGCATCCAAGCCAATCTGGACATACTTTTGTGTCAAGATGTTGTGTTACTGTCTAACTATTTTTGAGTCGAACAACCTCTTTACCGCAAGTAGTTTGCCTGAATCTGACCCATGTCCTCACTTTTTCCACTGGATTTGCATATGGTTTTCCAAGCAAGCAGAGATGGGCTTTAATTTTTGACATCAGACAACGTTGAGATTTTTTAATCTTTAGAATTCTGGGGGTTTTTATTAATGAAAACTAAAACATTGTAGGGAAAGGCTTCTAAGAAACGGAGGACGTGAACAAGAAGAAGAAGGAGAAGAAAAAGACTACATACTTGGTTCACACTCCTCATACTACTAATCACCTAATTTTCCATCCATGTTTGCCTTAGCTTATTGCATGCCTGTAATGTTGCAATAATAACCATTGGTTGTGCCTATTGGTACGAATCTTCTTTTACGTACGGACGGTGTATAGTTTCATGTAATGATCATCTCGTCAGATTGAGACATAACAATGCTCTCACAACATACTCTTAATTCTAAGGATTTGTGTTGCATTCTCTGAGATAGTGTACATGCTTTTGACCAGAAGCTTGGTCTCCTCGGTATCTTGGAGCCCCAATCTCTAGCCATGGTTTGAGGTTACCATTATAGTGTGTCACGGCTGCCCTCTCAATATCCCTCTCGGGGTTGTATGATTATGTGATGAGACCAGGCGGCAGCACAATTAAATAACTTTCCATACTGCTTTGAATGTTTTTAAAAGACGGCACTGATTTATTTTAAAATAAGCAAAAGCCGGAGAGAGTGATCGGAGAAATTGGGGAAACTATGGAGAGGAAGACTAAAGTAGTTATTGTGGGAGGCACTGGCTACTTGGGTCAGCATTTGCTTCAAGCTTTTGCCGTCAACAATGGCAGAGATCGGTACGACGTCGCTTTCACTCACCACTCTTCTCCCCTTCCCCGCCGTTTGCTCGACGCATTCCTTCATTTCCCCGCGTTTCCCGTCGATCTCAAATCCGGTCTAGGCCTTAATTCCATAACCAAGGACTTTGGTCAGGTTTCGATTTCGTAATACTCTAGCTCGATTATGCTTATGTTCCCGTAGAAGTTGCTTCGATTTCTTCCAGATTCTAAGTTCCCTGGTAAAATGGCCATGAATCTGTGTATGTATTAGACTCTGTGGTCTGAAAACAACCTTTGTTACTTTTGATTTACAGCCTGATGTGGTCGTGAATTGTGCTGCTTTGTCCGTTCCTCGAGTTTGCGAGCAAGATCCAGATTCAGCCATGTCTGTCAATGTGCCTACTTCTCTTGTAAATTGGTTGTCAACTTTTGAGACAAACAACACCTTGTTGATTCATCTCTCTACTGATCAAGGTTAGTTATACCACTTGGCATTAGTTAGTGTTTAATCATCATGAGTCATGACTTCAGCTTTTCTACTCGGTTTTCGTTTTACTGTCTCAATTTCAGTTTATGAAGGTGTCAAGTCCTTCTACAAGGAAGAAGATGAGACTGTTGCAGTCAACGTTTATGGGAAATCAAAAGTTGCAGCAGAGCTCCTCATCAAGGATAAGTGTCAAAACTTTGCAATTGTGAGAAGTAGTATCATCTTTGGTCCTCAGACTCTATCACCTCTCCCCAAGAATCTCCCAATTCAGGTGCCTCTCAGCTCACACCTTCGCAGACTTACACTTGAGATGATTGAACTGGCCTTGAATCTGGTCTTCTTAATGTTTTTAGTGGATTGATAGCTCCTTAAAGATTGGAGAAACGGTAGAGTTCTTCCACGACGAGTTTCGTTGCCCCATTTATGTTAAGGACCTCGTAAATATCACTTTGAATCTAATAGACAGATGGGTTGCCTCAGGTAGATTCTTTCTCAATGAGTCTCTCTGTCTAATCTGCATCATAGTAGAGAAAATGTAGAAACAATCATAAGAAACATGTTGTTGCTTGCTTTCAGATCATAAACAGATGCAGCTGGTTTTGAATGCTGGTGGACCCGAGAGACTATCTCGTGTTGAAATGGCTCAAGTGGTTGCAGAAGTGGGAGGATACGACCTGTCTTTGATTAAACCTGTGTCTGCATCATCGGTATGTTTGTAAGGCAAGATTTCACTCAGCTGTTGATTCATTATTTGCAGATGAGTGAGTAAAAGCTGTATTCTCAGGTTGATCGAGGTGTGGTGTCACCAGCAGATATATCTATGGACATAACAAAACTGATTCAGACACTTGAGATCTCTCCAACTTCTTTCAAAGATGGTGTTAGATTAACCCTCCTTGAGTCTGAATCTCAAAACCTCCCATGATTGTTTATTTCTTTGAGTTCCCCTGCTCTTCTTACTTATTTTCTATGGGTAAAATCTCGGTTTGAGAAAACCAGTGTAAAACCAATATGATTGATTTTGGAATTAAGTTAACAATATTTGGTTCGAGTAACGGAGTAAGGAGAGTGAAACATGATGATGTTTATATAAATATAAAAGAAACGGCACGTAGTCTAGACACGCAAAGTCGATCCTTGTTCTTCCTTGGTCATTGGGGACTTGGCGGACAAAGAATGTTAGAAATTGGATTGGAGGAGACCACCCTGTAAACTTTGTTCTTTGTTTAAACGACGAAGAAGACGAAGACTACCTTCTCCTTCTCACGCAAACCCTAGATTACTGTTTCTTCTCTTTTCTTTTTTCACGTTTACTTTGACGCGAATCAGATTTTGCCTTTTGTACAATCTCTCAACCCCCAGAGATATTTTCTTTCTGGATTTGAATTTATCAGGTATGGTTTCATTTTCGGTTTGATTTGGTGATTCTTCTCTTAATTTTTCACGTTCTCGTTGTCTCTTGTGTGATTTGCTCTTTGGGCTCTTGGGAATGTTTTTCTCTCAGATGTTATTTCGGAATCGCTGTATAAAATTGTTTGAATTCACAGAATATTAGAATTGTAGTTGCAACAGTTGTTCTTATTGGGAATGATGCCGCAATCAGATCAACTCAATGATTAGAAGAATCTATTGGATTCCTAGCTTTAAATAAGATGCTTATGTTCATTTCTATTAAATGTTGCCACAAAAGAACACATTCGTTGCTGAATCGTTTTATCTTGTGATTTTCTGAGATAGAAATCTAAAATAGTTTTGTTCACAGGGTATTGGAGTGCTACAGATTTTTCACTGGTAGAGGTTATAGCTTGAGATAATATGACGACACAGAAACAGCAGCAGCAACAACACATTGTGATATTTACCACAGCTAGTATTCCATGGCTGACGGGAACTGCTGTTAATCCTCTCTTCCGTGCTGCCTACCTCGCAAATGACGGGGATAGACGAGTCACTTTGGTCATTCCATGGCTGACTGTTAAGCACCAAAAGCTTGTCTACCCAAATAACATCACTTTTAGTTCCCCATTAGAGCATGAAGCCTATGTCCGTCACTGGCTTGAAGAAAGACTCTCATTTCCTTTAGGCTTTGAGATACGTTTCTATCCAGGAAAGGTATAACTCTGCTTGCCCTTCCCCAACAATCTTCTTTTGGGTATCAAATAGATACTAATTCGTTTCAAGTGGGTGACTTCTCTTGTTCTCTTCACTTTCTCGTATTATATTGTGTTGAGTTCTATCCATACCTCTCCTGCTTTCCTTAACCATCACACCATTGTCAATCTTACTTCTCAGCCCATATATATTATCTTTCATTGTTCACAAAAAAAAAAAAAAATATATATATTATCTTTCATTATCTCACTTTTATCTGTACTTTTCTGTTAATATGGTATGTGATCTTTCTAACAGATGTCATTTATTTATGTGAAACCCTGTATTTAGGATCCCTTTTTGTATCCAATCTTTCATGGAGATAGATTATTTCTATTACTGTATGTGCTTTCTCCATCTGTCTTGCCTTTGTCTAATTCACATAAACTTGCCTATAATTCATGTCTTACTTATGTATGCATGATCATTCACATTATGTCGTACCCTTCTTATCACTAAATAGAACACCTCTGAATTTTTACATAACTATTATGGGGTTTCCATATTCTGCCACGGATATCATTTTCTCTCTTTTTGCGGGTGAACTAATGGTCACCCGTGAATGCTGATGTTATCTTTCTGAGTTTAGTTTCCATCTCACCCTGCTGAGTTTTCTTCAATGGTTTGACAGTAACTTATCTTATTGCAGTTTGCAACGGATAAAAGAAGTATTCTTCCTGTTGGGGATATATCTAACGCCATTCCTGATGAAGAGGCAGACATTGCTGTCCTGGAGGAGCCTGAGCATCTCACATGGTTTCACCATGGAAAAAAATGGAAAACAAAGTTCAACTACGTCATAGGGATCGTACACACAAACTACTTGGAATACGTTAAAAGAGAGAAACAAGGTCGTGTCAAAGCTTTTCTCCTCAAGTACTTAAATAGTTGGGTTGTTGGCATTTACTGCCACAAGGTAAACTTCTTTATAGCCAGGACATGGTGGATTGATTGCTAAATTTTGTATATGTTGGTATCTTAGTATGATTATCTAATGACTGGATTAAAATGAAGACAGTATATTGGCCTATGACCCGCCAGTATGATGTGAATCAGAACTCTTATTAATGAACTTTACTCCTGCAGGTAATCAGATTATCCGCTGCGACTCAAGATTACCCTAATTCTGTAGTCTGCAATGTTCATGGTGTAAACCCTAAATTCCTTGAGATTGGTCTGAGAAAACTAGAACAGCAGAAGCTCCAGGAACAGCCCTTCACTAAAGGCGCATACTACATTGGTAAGATGGTCTGGAGCAAAGGATACAAGGAGCTTCTTACACTACTTGAGAAACACCAAAAGGAACTCGCTGAGTTAGAGGTTGATTTATACGGTGATGGAGAGGACTCTGAAGAGATCAAAGAAGCAGCCCGAAAACTCGACTTGATGGTTAATGTATACCCAGGACGTGATCACGCCGACTCACTATTTCACAAGTAAGTCTAGTTTAACAGCCAAGTATGCATCATGTCCTTATATTTAGCTAAAGTAATGCCTCAACATCAGTTTTCCTTGCTGTCTATCGGATTCTGTTTATATAGCTTAAACTCTTACATCTTGTACTTCAGCTATAAAGTGTTTCTTAACCCGAGCACGACAGATGTTGTCTGCACAACAACTGCAGAAGCCTTGGCTATGGGAAAAATTGTAGTGTGCGCAAATCACATATCGAATGAGTTCTTCAAACAGTTTCCCAACTGCAGAGCCTATGACGATGGAAACGGTTTTGTTAGAGCCACACTCAAGGCTCTTGGGGAGCAACCATCGCAACTAACAGAGCAACAGAGGCATGAACTATCATGGGAAGCTGCTACACATCGGTTTATAAAGGCCTCCGATCTGAGCCGGTTATCAAGAGCTGATTCGAGCTTATCAAAGAGAAGTGTGTTTGCGTCGTCGTCGTTTAGTGTGGGGAAAAACTTGGAGGACATGTCTGCGTATATTCATTTCCTGGCGTCCGGATTTGAAACTTCAAGAAGAGCTTTTGGTGCTATCCCTGGAAGCTTGCAGCCTGATGAAGAGTTGTGCAGAGATCTTGGCTTGTCTCCTATGACTCCTTCCCCAAATAGTCTCAAGGAAGATTAACCATTGACTCTTGTGAACATGTAAATCATAATGTGTTTTTATTTTCTATATTTCCTGCCTGCGGATTCCAGGCGTTGTTTTGGGTGCATAATCAATGTACTTATTTGAATCATTCTAAAGGTTTGTAATGTTGATTGTTTACATTAAAATGAAAATTAGATTTGTACATATTCACATCAGATTTGTACATATTCACATCAGATTGACATTACCTCTCTTTTGCCTTCTTTTCCTCTTTTGTAGTTTTTCCCAGTGTCAAATGTGGTAAATTTGTATCTGGTTGGCTATAGTAAAACGGTGACGTATCGTGAGGGCAGTGTTCAAAACTTGTAACGGCTGGTTCCTTTAATAAGGAAAAGAAACCCTAATATGAGGAAATACGATAATTTGCTCAAAGTTGGCATAATCATTCCAAACAGAAAGCCCAACAAAAGAACCGTTGAAACCCAGTAGCCAAAGAAAACACAAACAACATCTCTCGTTTGCCGTTGGTCAAAGCTGAACACGTGGAGATTTCTAGCCTTACCGAGACAACACTCTTTTTCTTTTATGCAACTCTATCTTCTTCTTGTCTTAAACCAATGAAATGTTAATTTTCTGAGGCGACATTTATCATCAATCAGCTCGAGCGTTACAAGAGAGAGAGAGATGGCTAAGAGCAGTTCCACTAGAAACAAAGAGGCCAAGAAAGAAATACTCTTACCTGACTTGTGGGTCACTCACCACCAAGTCAATGGTAGCGGTCGACCTAATAATTCGGTATGTACATATTCATCTTCTGACTATTATTCCACTTCCTCTGCATTCATTACCACTATACGATGTTTTCTCATGCATTTACTTATCCCATCATCGCATCTCTCTACATATAACCTCTGGTGTTTGATTTGTGCTTTTCGGTTGAAATACGACATATATATGATATTGTTATCTTGATTTACGACTATGTTTGAAGAGCTTTTGAGGTTTAGTTTGTAACACACCTGGAATTGAGTCATTTTACTTACCTGAACAATCACTCTATTGGGAATTGCTAATATTCTTAAAGGCTAAAACACATGATTTTATGTCAAGATACATGTGTATATGTACTGTATATTGTGAGTTTCGCAACATTTTGGAATTTGTAGAAGTGGGATTATGTATCATCACACGAGTCTGATCGTATATTTTATTATTTACTTCCATTAGCAAATAGATTGCTAAACATTTAAGTAGAGTTAGAGATATTTTGCTGTTTAAAACCCTGTTACTGAAGCTAAAGTTCCACTGATATGCATGGCTCGTATACGTGATGTCTATTGAGTTAATTATGTGAAGCTCCGTAATTTGTCTTTTGCTTTGAGAGTTATGGGAATTGTTCATTGAAGAGATAGCAACAAATGCATATATATACAAGATGATGTTGGATTACATTTCTATTTTGCTAGTAATTAATGGCTTACATTACTTTGTTTTGGATTTGTTGACTAGAGCTATTAGATATTCTCACTGATCATTCAAACTATAATTCGACAGTAACGTCCAAGTATCTAACGACTTTAGATTCTTGTCTCAAACTGTAATCGTTCGTCATTGATACTTTATCCCTCACACTTGTAAAATCTATGGTGTACTGTTCATTAAACTAAGTTTTCTTACCTTTCGAGTTTCTGCTTCTTATTACAGTACTACATGAATGTAAGAACAAGACAAAAGTTTTACTCTAAAATAACATTCTACAGACACTTCCGTAAATTGGCGGATGAGGTAAACAAAAAGAAAGCACTCACCAAATCTTCTTTCTCATTGGCCAATGAACTTATTCATGTATACATATATATTTTTTTTGTTCATTACATCTGCAAGTCACATGATTACGTGAAGAGCGAAAGCTGGCTTAAGAGAGAAACAGCCGAGGAAGAGAAGGATCAAGTGTGTTCAAGGTGCAAAGAGATTGGACATAACTGCATTACTTGTCCTTATCCAATCATCCTCAAGATTGTAAGTCATATCTTTCATCATTCTCAGTGTTCTACTTATATAATTATCTATTGTATGGTTCATTTCGGAGAAAGATATATATCATGCACTGCACCCTCCCATATGAAGCTGGTGGTGTTCGTTAAATTCACCATATATATATAATTAAGAACACATTTTGATAAATGAATTGACTTTGCAGAACCCTTATGCGGGAACAAGGATTCGTAGGTGCAGTAGATGTCACTACCTCGGCCACAATGTCCGTACATGTCGTCGAGCCGTTTAATTAAAACTAGTTGTGTAATTCAACGCACATTTGAAAAAACTATTTTTTTGTTTGTGGTTTCATGTTTTGTCTGGCTAATAAAAACTTACTTGTTAGTTGTTAGGGTTACCGTTATTTTCCAACCCGTACTAACCCCGTTCTCACTAATACTATCCAAACTTTCCGACTCTTCATATAACAACATAAATTTTATATACTCTTTACGAAACAACATGTATTTTAAAAAAGCTTAATATTCATACCCGTCCAATCGAGACAAAGATTAACGATTAGTAAACCAGATTAAACCGTTAAATAGCGTTTACTGTTCACGTTTTGACTTCATTGTTTGGACGATAAAAAAAACATGTCCAATATGTCTTAATTGTCTTAATTTCACTCTTCAACAAAGAAAAAACGATCAATTGTCTTAATTCACTTTTCCACGTGCAAGGTAAGTATGCATAAATGATTGCACTACTTGTCCAATAGTCATCATGCTTACTGGTTAGTTAGTTTTTTTCATTGTTTTAGACTTATTAACTTTTTATCATTTTAAATTCACTTTTATTTTTCTTTCGTGATAATTCAGTTTAGATTTACCAATTTTTTTTATAAAAACTTAGGGCTTTATTAAATAAAATCAATTAAAGATTTTATAGATCTTTTCAGTTTGCTCTAATACAATAAAAAATCGTAGATATTGCCAAAAGAAAAAAATAAATATATTTTTAATTAAAGAGAGTTTTAAGGGCATAAAAAGATTTGGGTAGCCGTTACGGAAGGACGACAAATCTTTTTAATGAGTCTCTCCTCTTTCAACAATTTGGAGGATTCTTCTTTGCGATTTACTTTTCTCCTTTTTTTTTTTTCTTTTCCTTTCTCCTATTGAATCTCTCTGTTCTTATTTAAGATGAGATACGTAGTTGCTGAAACAATCATCATATAGTGTGGTGTTTGTTTTCGTTGGCTGATTAGGATTTTGGTGTTTAACAAAAAAAATTCGAGAAAGTATGACAGAAGAATATAGTGATTTGAGTCGATCAGAATCTGAGTATGATGATATCACCGCAGAAGTTACTCCTACGTTTGCAATTGACTCTCCCAGGTATGTTTTTTTTTATGTTCATACCCTCTTGTATCTCTTGGTTGTTTCTGACCCTTGTATAATTGTGGCTATTAATTATGATTTATGGATTTGAGGGGTGAATTGTATATATTTGATTGGTCGTTGGTGTGATGTTAATGAGCATTACTGGAGACCCATGATATATCTAATTTGAGGAATTGGAAGAAAACTATAATCAGTTTTAAGTATGTTATTCGTCGTCACCAACGATATTAGGCTCTCTCTCTCTTATGAATTTTTTTGTGGTTAAAGATACAAAAGAGTGAGTGGTGCTAAGAGAAGATCAACTAAAGGAGGATGGACTTCCGAAGAGGTACGTAGCTCAATGTTTCTTGTCGTTTCTAGTTTTGATCATGTTTTTGTGTGATTGAATTCTTTTTTCCATCATCTATCTACAGGACGAACTTTTGACCAATGCTGTGCAGAGGTACAAAGGGCACAACAGCTGGAAAAAGATTGGTAATTGATCCATCGATCTATATATATTTTTTGATTGATTTGTCATGATCATGTGATAGTTATATATACCCGGAAACCTATATATATTATTGTATCTATGTCTTTGGTTTAGTTGAGAGTGTTCCTGGATTGAAAGGCAAGAGGAACGATGTCCAGTGTCAGCACCGCTGGCTAAAGGTTCTTGATCCAAGCCTCTACAAAGGACCTTGGACTAAAAAGGTATCTTTTGGTTCCCTTCTTGGTACATATGCTAGCTACGATGTCTCCTTACTACTTAGTGATCATATCTCTTGCTATATATTCAGGAAGATGAACTCTTGAGTAAATTGGTTAATGATCATATAAAGAATGATAAGCCTCAATGGTCCAAAATTTCAAAGCAACTCCCTGGTCGCATTGGCAAGCAATGCCGTGAAAGGTCTTTTACGTACATTGTTTTTCTTTTCACATTTCGTTCAATTTTATGCATCACTTGATCGGTCTACATAGTTCCATTAAGCTTATTGTTATGTTATGTCTTTGTAGGTGGCATAATCATTTGAACCCGACTATTAAAAAGACTGTGTGGACTAGAGAAGAGGAACTCATTCTCGTTCAATCACAAAGAGAACACGGCAATAAGTGGGAAGAGATAGCCAAGCTCTTGCCTGGAAGGTTAATTTGTCCTTGATTAAATGACATATAAAAAAATATCACCTTTGCTTGCTTTTTCTTTCTCTGAACTCTTGGTCATGGAATTAAACTAACAGGACGGAGAATAATATTAAGAACCACTGGAATTGCTCAGTCAAGAAGAGACTGGAGCAGTTTCCTAGTAACCTCGTCTCTGATGTCTTATATGATCCTAGACCTCATGGTTTTGAATACAACTTTTTTAATCACAAAACATTACAAATGGAGGAAGCTGCAACGAGTACTCAATGGGATTCCTTAGAGTTAACTTTAGGACCCATGAATTGGAGGAGCACTCCTTCGTCCACAAGCTCTCTTAGAGGAGATGATACAATCTCATCATCATCACTAGAATCTGATTGGTCAAGTCCCAAAGGTAAGGGTGAAATATATATCAGTGGACACCTTTTATAATTGATTATCACATGTTCTAACAAGTACTCTATTTATGTAAAATACGTTTCAGAGAGTACTGTAGAAACTCCACAGCACAATAACGAGAATGGGTGCATACAAGAAGTGAAGAAGATAAAAGAGAGACTGAGAATGGCTGCGAGTACTTTCAACACACCTTCCATTATCTCCAAAAGAAGCTCCCCAACATCATCAGGTCTGAAACGGCACAGACAAAAAGACGACACCCAGTTTCATGTAGATGCTAGAAGTCACAAGTCAAGTGAGGAAGTACACTCAAATATTTCAACTTCTCCTTTCTCCAAGTACAGACTTGCGAAACGTAACACTTGCTCTGGCTCAAAACCCTTGGAGAGGCGTTTAGATTTCGACTTTATGTGACCAAGAAAGTGCAATTTGATTTTTTTTTAGCTTTGGACCTTTGGTACTTTGGAATCATCAAGTTTAATAACTCATTAAAACTTTGATTTAACTTTCTTGATGTACAATTGCTAAACATAATAAATAGGTTTTATGTCTTTTTATTCTGAATTATTCATATTATTAAATATTAATGTAAAACATAATAATTAGGAAGAAAGAAGGAAGCTTCTCCACTTTCTATGTACCTAATTTCTCATCACCTTCCTAGTTTCCTAATTCTAACTTCAAAACAAATAAAAAAAAAAAAAGCTAAAAACCCTTTAAAAGACCCTTATATATATGTTACATACAGCTACAAGTTTTACTCGTGGAAGGAAACCATATTGTCTAGATCATGAAATTCAGGAAAGATCATCGAAGAAGCGAAAGAATGAGTCGTAAAATAGAGATCACGGGGATATCGGCGGAGGATCTCGTCTACAAGAAAAGACGGGTGAAAAAGAACGCCTACGTTGCCTTCGACACGGCAGGGAAATATATGAAACAGCCGATGAGAACGAGCGTCGACGAGATCAGTGGGAATTATCCGATGTGGGAGGACAAGCTGGAGACGGAGTTCTCGCCGGGGAAAGAAGCGGTTACGGCGACGAGTGTGATGTACGTGCAGGTTCTCTGCCGGAGTTCAGCTGGGGAGGATCACTGCGTGGGAACGGCACGTGTCCCTGTTAAGGATTTTACGGGAGAATATGCGCCGGAGGGTTTTTTGCACTGTCTCAGTTACAGATTATGGGACGAGTCTGGCTGTCGTAACGGGATTGTCAATTTCTCCGTTAGGATTCTTCCCGATAAATCAGATCTTAAATCCCGTCTCCGTCCGTTTTGGTTACGTTAAATAATGTTTGCTATTATCTATCTACTCTCTAGGTTAACTAATAATTGTCGATATTTTTTATATAACTTTACTCTTCTTTTTTTTTTTTATAATTAGCAAAATCAAAATCCTTACTGATTGGTTTATTATGGTTTTCATTGGTTTTGTTGTTTCGGTACATAAATGTTCGGTCTAGCCAAACAAACCATACATTGATAGATGACAATGGTTATATTGTGTATTACTTGTGTATGTTCAGAAAGACACACCAATCTTTTCATCCAGAGGACAGTAAGTGATAATCTACCAATTAAACCATCGTTCGTGTGTATATATTTTATCAACCAAAGAATTGTTGCGGTTAATGTTTATGTTAAGAATAATTAAGAACATGATATAAAAAAAAAAAAAAAAAAAATTAAGAACATGATATATGTGTCGTCGTTACGTTCAGAAAGACAGGCCAAACATTTCCATTGAGAAATCATTAAAACAGCTTATTTAAATGATAGTCTATATATCAACTCAAGCCATTGGTTTTGTTTAGGTTCCGAATGCCGGTAAGACTGAACCGAATACAGGTAATATCGTATTTTGATCTTGCTAAGAAGTAAGAAGACACACGTAATGCAGTCTCTGTAATCAACATTTAAACGGCATGGAGTTTCATGTGCTTGTTAGATGGGCCTTAATCATAGACGAAAATTGATATAAATGGGCCGTATACCTACCTTATCAGGATAAAACAGTTAAAACGGTCTAAAGTGTGTCGTTTGTGCTTAATCTAGTCGCACGCTGTGTCGTTTACATGGATAAAACATGTGTTGCAGTCTCTGCGTCAAACATAGAAACGGCAGCAAAACTGTCAGGTTCACCTACACAGTACACACAGACCGTGATGAGTTGTTAACTCCTCTAGCTGCGTTTCTATTCTGGTCAGACGAGACGAGACGAGAATCGGAGATGAATCCCCAAACCGATAAGGTGGTGAGAAGGACGACGATGGTGGCGACTGTTGTTGCTTCCTACTTCCTCTTAACAGGCGATTACGGTCCCGAGCCAAACGTTCTTGATCCCGTGAGTTCCCATTTCTACTCTAAATTATTAAAAGTCTCTCTGTCTGCGCTAAATTGATTTCGTTTCCATGAAAATCTGGATGGGAACTCGTTTCTGTTACCCTTTTTTCTTTGTAGAGAGATGAGTGGCCTTCTTAGTTAGTAATACTCGTTTTTGTCAAATTGGAATCAGAAGTTCGTCGTCTATTTGGGGTGATTCTTAACATATGATAGATGTGCTTTCTGGCTGAGACTTTGGTTGGTGATTCCGAGTGTGGAAATCACTTGCTTGATCCATTGTTTGTTTGGTTATAGGGATTGCATATTTTCGGTGGGATATGTTACATGATGAGATTTCTCAGCCATTTTACTCTTGGAAATGCTCAACCTAAAGTGTTTATGCAAATCTGGATTAGAACTCGTTTCTGTGTTTATGCATTATTATGTCTTCGTAGATTAGCTTTCTGATTGAGATTCGGGGTGATCTATCATCCATTGTATGTATGTAAGTATGTATAATGTATTCGGGATGAACTATTGTTGGTGGGTTATTTAACATCATCATAGAAGCTGCCCCCATATGAATAATGACACTTATGTTCTCTTCTTGATATGCTTTACCTAAATTGGCGTTTTTACAGATCAAAAGGATAATATTATCAGCACAAGATTCTGTCAAGCAATTCATCTTTGGACCAAAGAAAGAACCATCTGGGAAAGAACAATCTGACAATGCTAAATGAATATGTAGTTAGTTATAACTGTCAATCTACTTTTTGTAATCAACGAAAGTGTAATAACCCTTATCTTTTTTTTTTTCTTTCTAGTAACAAGTTTAAATCTCCTCCATAGTACTTGCACAATCAAAGTTCATGTTGTTTTAACCCAACCTAGTCATTCACCAATGTACATGCGAAATCTGTCTAGAATTACATATTAACAACTCGGCACAAATCTTTCTTAAGAAATACTAAGGAGAACCTAAACCTGAAGCAGAAACAGATCTACCAGTCAGTTAATTCTTCGCCTTCTGAAAGCCGGGTGAATGGTAACGTCCAAAGAATCGAGTTTGTCGATACCCTCTATACACTCTCGGATTCTCTTTACTACTTTGGGTATATTCGCAGCGTTCCTTGACATTATTTCCTTAAGCCGAATTATTTTCTCTCTAGAGTCTTGCTCTTCAGTTCCCACCACAACAGGTGCTTGTGTTTCTGCATATAGAAAAAGAAAAACACCAATGATTGGTTGATTTGATTTAGCATACTGATAAGAGAGGAAGAAGACAAGGATCACTGCAGGCTCTTAAGTTTTCTCTAACAATACTATGAACCGATCTCAAACAAAGTCTCTTATTGAATTAAAATATACTTATGTTCTTATTTTCTGCATTAAACAAAACACCGCAGGTTGGTTAGTATAGCATACAAATAAGAGAGGGCGATGACAAGAATCACTGCAGGCTCTTATGTTTCTCTACAATACTGTGAAAACCTTCTTCAAAACAGAGTTTCTTATGAACAATACAATGGGAACATAGCAGAAGACGCAAACGACATAAAGACTCTAGCTTTGAGCTAAAACTTCACAAACCAAGTTGTACAGTGTATTGATTAATTCATCAACAACTTCCTTACGCAACTTATTACTCTCACACTTGACTCTGCAAAGATTGTACATTTTGGAGTTTAAGTAGATATTTTTAATGCAGCCAATATACGACTCTTACATGTAAACCATTCTTCCAACTGATACATGACAATGTAAAAAAAATACAGTCATAATGCAAGCAAATCATAACTAATTATCCGTTTTGAGCAATATGTACAGAAGCCTAAAGACATTTAAAGCATGAATCCAAACACACTTCGGCTGTTTAGACTAGCCCTAAATTTATTTCGACATCCTTATAAATTACTCTACTCAAAAAAGGTGGTAACCCAAATTGATTGATGAACTAATACAAAAAAGGGAAGAAGGAACCAGCCTGCGATAGAGAGGTAAGACGACGAAAGAGGATCCAACCGAGAATCGATGTTGGGTATGTGAGATGAAAGCGCAGAGTCAAGGGTGTTCCTGAGATGGTCCGGTAGGGTTTGCCTGTACTCGGAAATCGTCTTGGCCATCTGCTTCACATCTGACTCCAATTCCTCCAGATCTCCTTCATCGATGTCAACTTCCGGATCTAGAGCCATGGATTCCATCAACTGTTGTTGAAATTTGTGATTCTCCGATGGATACCTCAAGGTTCAGTAGAGAGAGACTACAGAGGTTTCTTTTTTCTTTTTTCTTTTTTTTCTTTTCGCTTTTCAAAATTGAGGAGCGTCTTATTAGAATAACGTTATCGGAGATTTATCTATTAAAACGACGTCGTTCGCTCTCGACTTGAAGCTCTTTCTATTTAGTAAACACATAAATTAAAATGAATCCCAATTTGAATTTTCATTTTTGTTGAAACAGTATCACAGTTTACAACAACAAACACAACTTATGTATAGACAGACCCACTCTCGAAGGAAATATCTTTTTTTGGGTAAAAATCGAAAACCATATTCAAATGACCCGAGACACACTCGATGACAAAAAAAAAAAAATGACCCGAGAGTCCGAGACACACTCTTTGGAATGTGACAAGATTGGTGCAACAGATGCAGCAATTCTTCTCTCACTATCAATCCTATTACTTCAGAGCTTGGCCCCGAAGGAGGGCTTTATAGTCACAGCTTCTCTTAGCAAAGCTTCTTGCGTCAAAGATACCACCAGCTGCACACAAATTATCAACTATATATGTACTTTCTTTACCACCTTAAAAATTAAAAACTAGACCTCAATTGTGCAGATATTTTTAGGGCTTTGTATTCTACTTAATGGGAGCTTGAAAACTACATTAGTTTCTTCATTCTTCGAAACAACAACGTACCTGCCCCTTTCTGTTAAACATTTTTCCAGTGGCAAAACCACGGCTTTCGAACGCTGTTGGACTCACTATCTGCATAATGAAAATGTTGTAAGTATATTTTCCTTGCTCAGAGTTTTCATTTCTAAAGGATTCAGTCAGACCTTTGACAATATCACTAAAAGTGTTGTGGTTTACTTCTTTTAACATGATAAACACGAAGATATAAATCCAGAAGGGGTAGATCTATAAACTTCACGAATATCAGCTAAACAAGCAAGTTGTTCTAATCTATAGTTATCAATGTTTCTACCTGCCATGTGGGTCTTCTGAAACCCAACCTGACAGGCGTCTTCAAACAAAAGACACACCATATTAATATAAAGCTCCATGGCCCGAAACAACTCAAAGTTTCGCAAAGTGTTTACGCAATTTTTAGTTTCACCTAAACAAACATTTGGATTTCTACCAGTAATAACTTTTCCTTCTTAATAAAATTTTCTCACATTCTTCAGAAAAAAAAAGAAGACATAAGCTTTTCTTACCACAAATAGCAACCAATCATCAGCTCTTAGCGATCGGTGGAACCACATCCTGCAAACAAACATAAGAAAAGTAAGAAACAATTACTTGATGCATTATTTTGAAGATGCTAAAATCTAGATTTTCGACGATAGACCAGGCATGTAATTATGTGTGCGCCTGCGTGTACATATATAAATTACGTGGTTTGGACATATTTTATGGGAATAGTACAACCTCAGACTTCGCTATAAGAAAATTAAAATTCTTACGAGTGGTCCAGGCTAAGAGCAGCTACACTCATGCCCTCTCTGCGGTGAGGGTTTAAACTGATAGAGGCGAATATCAAATCTGAAGCAAATGCAACCACAGATCTGTATAACAATGCCGGGGACAAGACAATTAGAAAGTCTGCAAGAGATATATCATATATGTCTCAACAACCCCCTAGTTTCCAATGGTAAGATAATCTGGATTACATTTCAACTATAAAAACTGGTGATACTTAAATACCACTAATAGGTGAACTCCTTAGAACATTAAAAGGTTAACATTACAATTCAAAATCGTATAGATCATATAAATGAATTCGAGTTTTTAGGTGACTTTCAGCTTAACACCACTGAAGTAGAGTTGCTCACCTGTGCAAAGCTTGATCATCATCAGAAAGTTTTCCCTTTGCTCTAAACCAATATTTCAGTCTGCAAGATGATTTCAGGAAAGAAATGTTTAGTTTTTATCAGTACCCACTTAAAATTTTAGTTTTAATGTTTAAGAGTGACAAAATGAAATACGCGATATAGTCAACAAAATTGATTTATTTAGGAGTTAAACAACTAGGTTAACCTTGGAGAAGACTTTGGCTGTTTAGAAGAATCCTTTGGCTCACAAAATCGAATATCTATAGGGAATGGAACATTAATTTCAGATGCAACTTTGTCTCGGTAATCCCTGAAATGAAGAAACAATTTAGAAGTGTATCACTCTGAGTTCTTGGAATAATTCGTCAGGCAAAATACTTCCACATACCTAGGTAGCAGAGGGTCAGTGACAAGCCGTTCAAGCAACTCCTCCCTGGGTAGAAGCTGCAGTCGATAGGGATGAAAATGACAATCATCGCAATTCATTATAAGCCTCAAAGTAGGAGAAATGATTTACCGTTTCAGGAGTTGGTGTGTGAGGCATAGTCGACTCCTGGTGAATAAAACCTTGTTGCTTTTTCTGTAAAACCAAATAAATAGATAAAGAAGTTACAAGGTATTTATTTGTTGTGCTTAAGCGTGAAAAGGCTATTGGCTCATTATGACATAGAATAGAAGCCTAAAGATCCATAATGAAATATTTCACGAAAATATAGCATCTTACCTGAAATGAAGCGAACAAGGTGAATATGGTTTTTCCTTTCTGTCTAGCATCTACTCTTCTGGTGGCAAAGTTGTTGCCGTCACGTAAGCGGTTTACTTCAAATATGATGGGAACTGCAAAAGTAGCAAACTATGATAATTTGCAAAGAGGAACAGATATCTGAGGTCCAGAGGAATCCGAAGAAAACAGCTGGCAGGGTTTTCAGATAGAGAGCGAAAACAATCGTTTGCTTGCAAAAGCACATTAAAAGTATGCCTTACTATTGATATCTCCAACAAGAAGGAAATAGGAATGAAAATTATGGACTATCTTCATAGTTTCAACAGTTTTTGATGCTGCGGCAAGTGCCTGCGAAGTGAAGGCAGTTGTGTCACAGTGATTACTAGTTATTTCGATTTCGTGAATAAATAGCACATAACAAGCTATATATGCAATTGAATGATCAGCAGGGTTAATAAATACCTGATGTAGCCTTACATGAGAAAATTTCATACCTGTCCAACTAACTGCCCTCCATAAACCTTCCCATAGGTTGGAGCATTGGGTGGAGTGAACCCCCGGAATACATTCAACTACAAGAAAGAAATTCTTCAAATAAGAGATTCCTCAATTTTACTGGCAGAGAAAGAATGTTTTAAAAAGCTACAAGTAGTATGTATTGTATGAGGTGAACATAAATTTGAATAAATGTGAAATGAAAAATGCTATAATTCTGATAACACAGAATGGTAAATATTAATGGCTAGAATGAAGGCTGTTGAGGGCAGATTCGTACATCTAGTGGTTCTAGATACAATATCTGTTCCACAAGACAAAGTGTCTCAAGTTTCTTATCTGAATCCCGGAACGGTATTGTCTCAAGCAAAGCACGATGATCAGACATCAACAGTAAGCAGGTAAGCTGCAGGGAGAGATATAAAAACAGTACTCAGTTTGATACTACCGCTTAGCATACCATGAGCTCAAGGAAAAGAAGGCAGCCTAAGGAAAGATGAGATAACGTTTAGCAAACACCTCTGACAGAGCAACAACATCTGCTGAATAAACATCCCCAAAAATACCTGTATAGGGATTTTTAAAAGCCAATTCAAATTAAGGAACCACACTTGCAAAAAACAACATAAACACACTGAAATTGGAGAATGTCCAATATTAAAAGAATCATCCTCTCACCATGGCCGAAGCAATCAAATCGTTTCAACAGGGACTCAGGACAGCTTTCCTCTCCGGCTGATCTCAGAACCTGAGCCTGCAAAAGATAGTTTTAAAAAAGGCCGTTGCAGTATACTTATTCTATCTTCCTATGGAGATAAAACAAGTAAATATGCACCTGTCCTTGTAAGAGAAAATAAACTCCATCCACATCTTGATTTTCACGAACCACATAATCACCTCTGTCTGTGAAGCACATAGACAAAGAAGATCACAAAGTGGAAAAACATAAGCTCTGTTTCTAAGAATAACTGCTTAGTGCTTACACTCAAGAACACAGAGTGAATACAGACCAACAAAATCCCCAATCAAACTGATGAGAACAAAGTCAAAATCCAAGAATCATGGAGATCACTAACCATAACGCTTAAACACAACGACTTGGGAGATTCGCTTCAGAGAAGAACTAGGTAACCGCTGCAACAAGGGCACATTCCCAAGGAACTCGACAACTACAAACCAAAGCAACCAACCATTTAAAAAATCATTCAAAATCGTGGAGAAAAACTCTCAGCTTTCAACATCTCTCACTGATTTCTCCGGCTATAGAACAACGGAAAAAGATATCGGAAATACCTGATTCAGTGTTCATGATGAAGTGACCGGCGAAGTCAGAACCAATCTCTGACCAAACCAAAATACAAAATACAAAATTATCCAGTACCCTACGGGTATACGATAGTCGGTATACAATAATTTCGAATCGAATTTGATTTTTTTAACCAACTGGGGAAAACGTGTTAATCATGTCCCAATACTGACAAATTTAATGGGCCTACAGTAAAAAAGCCCAACAACTTTTATTAACATTGAGGGACCCCATCCGCTGTCTCTCACACAAAAGTTTCTTACACTTAGCCCAGATCCGTCCGACACTTTGCGAAATACGAAATTGCACGTCTTTCTTTTGATTCTGTCTCCGCTGTTCTTGATGCTAATGGAATCTTTCGAGCATCTATGGTGAGTAGATTCTTTCTCACAACAACTCTTTTCATCGTCTCGTCATACGAACTGTGGTTGACTTGAACTTTTCGCAGTTAACAAATCCAACTTGTCTTCTCTCTCTCTCTCTAACTCGTGTCTTCTTCAGCGCCAAAAGAAATGATTGAACTCATTTGATGTTAGAAGTTGTTCTTTTTACAGTTGTCCGTGATGGTTTCGGACACAAATCCTAGAACTCAGCTTGATCCGACCAGCTTATGATTCTGTCTTTTTCCTTACAGCCCCTTGATCCACACTGAGTAATCTTGTGTCAGTGGGTTCTGCTTGAAAAACCCGATCCCATTGCTACAAAAATAT